TTGAAGATACCTTTTGCCAGTTCCTCCCGCGCTGCTCTCAGCTGCAGGGAGAGCATTTGATCTTGATGAAAGGTTTGATCCTCCTGCTTAAGCTTGCGGATTTGCGACGTAATGTGAGCATACGACCTCGCACATGTCATGCTTCGTGGTATGCAGGCTGTAGCGTGGGACGAGTAGCCGCTCCATCGCTACCGTATAGTCAGTTGGGATGTAAATTTACAGAAGTGGGAATATGCCTGTCTAAGGCTTCCCTTCCGCGTCATATGCCTGCCCCCTCGGGCGGCCAACTCGGGATTGGCGTCGAGGAACGCAAGTACGTTCCAATACTTGTGGGCGCCATCGGAGCCATCATGCTGAAGCAGCATATGCATGCTGAAGCATATGCTTCGCAGCCCACTTTTTGATAATGTCCGCCTCCCGCACTTTGTGATGGAGCCTGCGGCCACGGATTCGACCTCCTAAAAATGCATGCAGAGGATCCTCCGCATCGCCCCTCAAGTGAGGCGGGCACCGCAGGCATGTCAAACACACAGACAATGCGCGTCCCATATTGCGTTCACCGACGGGAGAGGACGGCCATTACGCTGACCTCCTCGGCAGAATCACTCATCATCCTCATGGAAAGACTTGTCGTCTTTCCCATTCGGCAATTCTACCCCTCCAGGGTCTCCAACGAGAATTGCCTGGCACCGGTCCTTATAGAAGAACAAGGGCAAATGACAGCCCAAGCGGAGACGCATGACCTGCGGGTTTACCGCGGCGCATCTCGGGCAGTAATAGTCAACCAGCGGAACATTGTTTGCGGGCAGGCCGCCGTTCACAGCTCTGCCGGGAGCGAGCAAAGGGTGTGTAGCCCACAGGGATGTGAATAACATCTGGGTGCCGTAGACAGCTGGTACATGAGACTGACCCGCCTTGTGTTGAGATAAGTTCCCAGCTGTTTCCACCTGCTGGCCTCAGTAGTCGCATGGGGCAGACCAGCATTTCCCACACCCTCTTCAAAAACGTGATTTTGTCCGGCAGTGCTGGATAGGCTAGGCTATACGTTTGTAATCCCTGTTCCAATTGACAAGACGTTGCAACGATGAGTGAGTGCTAAGCAAAGTTTCGTTTTCCGCTCTTGCTGCGTGCCAAGACACATTTGAGGGACGGCCTGAATCTCCACAGCAACCAGGTGCTCAGGTCCAGTTTCCCACGCCCTTGAGGAAGCTGGTCATTTGTCCATATCCAGAGGATTTCACAAGCAGGGCCTACCGCTTTAAAGTTTCCCATGGTTCATGGGAACGCCGAATCTCAGGCAGCGGCGATCCCGCCTACTGCAGTTTCTGGATGAGTATGGCAAGCCGCTCGAATTTGTCCGCAACACGGGCATCGGCTGAACGGGGAGAACGCTGAGGGGTGGTTTGCTTTTGAGTTTCCTTTGATACTCATGGATTCTACTGGCAAGAAGCAGGGAGTCAGGGTGAAAAGGTTCCAATGTGCTATCCATGGGTTACTTTCTTTACACTTCGTGATAAATGTGAAAAGAGGATTCCCGAAAGACAGGAGTGGATTCATGTCAAATCTGCCGAGCTTGGCTTGCTTTGTTGAGTCTCGTTCCAAATCCACAAGCAGGGGGTGGCAAAATATCGCCAAAAAACAATTATGGTTGAAGAAGCTGCGGAGATTTGATTCCATCAGGTTGTGGGGCACCGAACATGGCATGGAGGTCCTTGTCCTAACGAGCGCCTGTCAGACGAGCCGTGAGCACTGGGTCTAATCTTGCGGGGAGATGTATTTTCACCAGCTTCACCTGGCAGGGTTTTGTTGAGAATGTGAGCGCTTTGTGCGAGGTGTAGGATACGCTTGATGCCTCACGGCGAGGCAAAGGCATATCCGAGGTACAGCTTGGTTGACTCCTGGCTCGCCATCTTGGCGCTGTGCGCCTTCGACATCAAGTGGTTCAGCCAGGACTCGCCCAATTTTGGGTCTTCGCGGCTCTTTCCAAGTGCTCTGTTTGTTTGCCCTTGCCCCCATTTCTTTTCTGCGCTGCCTTGAGCCAGCCTTGAGCCAGCCTTGGGCCAGCCACTTGCCGCGGGTCCAGCGGTCGAAGCCTCCAGGAGGCTTCCGTGAATGTGACTCCGGTGCCGAAGCTGCCGTTCTTCACCTTCGTGGTTGCCAGTGTGCTCTCTCTGGTCCTGGGGCACATTGCTACAGAATTCAACAGGCCTTGGGGCTTCGGCTGGCCGAGGGGGCCGAATCATAGAAGCAACTTACCCCTTTTGTGGAGGGGTCCTGTGTTTTTGAGTAGGTTTGGTGTGGTCAGGCGATGCTTGGACGACTCCATGCTGACGAAATCCTTCAGCCGGAGCCAGATGACAAACGTCGACCACCGGGCCTTGGTTCAGGACCTTCCACTAGGCGGGGGAGGGGGGGTCATGGCAAACAAGGAAGCTTTCCCAGTCTTTGATCATGGGACAACTCTGATATATTAAGTTGTGAGTGTGTGTTTGTTGAACAGCAGCCTGTTTTGATGATGCAGCCTTTTGTTTAAATGGGTCTTCATCATCATCGGAGTACATAGTTTATTGGCGAAGGAAAGCAGCGTCGGCAACATTGGAGTTGGTTGAAACCAACTCCGCATGAACGCATGCCACCCATTTGACCCGATTTTGAGACATCCGAAACATCTGCCTAATGCCCCCTGGGTCCCCGGCCGGGTCGTTGATGCCCTTCCAGGGCAAGCCATCCTACTCCTGGGGCTGACGGTCTTCACCGGCGTGTCTCTGGTTGTCGGGGCCTGCGTCATCTCGCTGCAGTACCAGGCGACGTCGTCGCTTGGTTTTTTTTTCTGCCAAGGGAGGCGGAACCTAGGCACCCTGCTACTTTTCTCGAGGTCTTGTGGCTTCTCCTTGGTTTGCTTTTCGCGCGCCCTGAACAGATCTCCGGTGCTATCGCTGATCTTTTGCTGAGAGAGGAGGACGATGCGGGCCGGAAAAGACAAGTTTTGAGACTGAACATGTTCCCGCAGCAGGAGAAAGAGCTGTCGTACAGCTTGGTGAGTCTTGGGCTATTCCTCACAAAGGGCTTTGAGGAATCTGCCACTTGGCCAGAACGCCGGAAAACTCCTTATTATATATCTAGCTTTCATCGGACGGCCGAGGGCGGCTTGCATGCCGTCCAGCTGATCTTTTTCCTCTTCGCGTTGGCCCGGAGCTCAGTGCCACAAGCGCCGTGTCGGGTGTGTCCTTCGCCCGGAAGGATGGGCTTGTCTCAGGGAACTGTCCCCAAAATGGGGTGCTTCCCCTTCACCTTTTCCCTCCCCCTCCCTGTTTCGCCACAAAGCAGCGGTACCTTGAAATAGACAAACCCAAACACGGAGCAGTCGCTCCCTTCCTGTTCGAAGCGTGGTTGCCTTCTCAACGAGGTCATCCCGCTTGTGCTGGTGATTGCGCTTCTGGCACTGCTGTTAATGCCAATGGAGCAGCACTCCCGCGTGCTGCTGCTGAAAGGGTGCCACATACTTGACGCACCTGGGCAAAACTTGCGAGAGCCACGACACGCACATGCCGCCTCTGCCACTTGTTTTTCTTCATCCGTTTTTTTAGCGGTTGCGCTGCTTTGTCTACGTATCTTATATTCACGCTTGAGGCAGCTAAGATGTGACAATGCGGATTGAGGTTTTAAGGGGGGAAGGGAGGCATGGACATGCTACGGCAATTCGCCATTTGGATTTGGTCACTACAGTATTGCTTTGCGTTGCTGGCCAGCTTTCTTGATCCGCCCTTACCACCGGCCACCTTCAACTCGCAAGTCTCCGGGTTCCAGCTTGTCGCTGGTCGCTTAAGGCGTGGGCCGCCTTTGACGTATTTGTCATTGCCGTTGTGGTGGCAAACTTTGAGTTCTGGCTTCTGACGGAATTCCTGATTTATCACGACAACATCGCAGATGCATGTAATTGGGCCCGGGCCTCGTTTTCACCGGCCCTGTGAAACACGCGCGGTAGGTGTGAGCACACTTGTTTCCTTGATGAGGTGCAGGACAACATGAACGTAGAATGCCTGGCAATGCAGTGTGCTGTCCTGAGATGGGCCAGCGGCAATTTCAATGGGCGGTTCGCATGAAGCACCTGGCCTAGAGGTCACATCCAGTCTGGATTTACAATCCTTGCTTTGGCAGGCTCGAGCAATTGCACCGGACATGCAACAGAGTCTTGCTTTTGAGAAGACAGCGTGTCAACAATGCAGTGGTGTCAGGCTCTCTGTATTGAGTGGCCACATCTTGCCCTTTTCATGCCACCGAAGGGACGGGTTCCGTGCTCGGTCGCAGGCGTTTGCTCCTATGCCACGCCCAAGCTCGTCTTCCGCCTGTGCCAAGGGGTCCACTCAGAGGCAGGAGCTGCCTAGGAGGATAGAGCCTGAGTGTCTGAGGAAGAACCAAGTGATGCTTAGAATGGTTGGCAGGCCTCAGCTCGCAGTCTGAAAACGGGTCAGGGGCGAGACGCCGCTTTTCCCTGCAGGCGGCAGAATCCTCTGACTCTGAGGATCAGCCCCTCTATCGGTAGCGCTGAAGTCTGGCGCTTGTGATAGCGATGTCGTAGGAGTCGTAGGAGTCGCAGGAGCCGCAGCAGCCGTAGGGCTAGGAGTGGTCGTTTATGCTCGACGAAAAGGACTGGTGCTTGCCGAGGGTGCTCCTTTCTGTGAGCTCCATGGATAGGCGTTCCTGAGTTGGGGCATGTTCTTAGGAATGCGAACCGGTTTTGAATGCTGCTTCTTTTCAGTGTTTGGATGCAGCAGTATGTTTCAATATTGTCATAGGATCCAACACCAGAAGGCAAAATTACAATCGATCCCCAAATCAGGTTGGTCTTTTGCCTTCCATATGTGAGATGCCTGGAGGTTTCCTCATATTCTCAGAAATGTTCACAGCTAAAGCCACTCCAAGAAACCTCCAGAATCCAGAAAGCAACATCCCTTGGCGGGTTGGCTCACTTCCAGTTGCTTCGGTTTCAACCGTCTGAGGTGCATCTCCTTGGGGAGCCCCCAAGGAGCTTTGCCTTCGACGGCGTGCTGGGAGTGTGGGGGCCCCATGCGCCACATTGGAAGTGTGGGTAAGTGAAGGTCACCACGGAGTACACTTCTGGTGAAGACGCGGTGTCCGGCACCCCTCAGTTTTTTCATGAGGTTTATTCATACGGGATCAACAAGGGATACTTCCCTTGCCATGAGGTAGCTACGGAAAGCCGCTCTTTGGTGTTGTTTCTTTACCATTGTTTGGGTAGACCAGCTTCGTATGCGAGGTTTCATGGCATCTAAGACCCCTTTCTGGTCTGGGGAACTGGTAGCTTCCCAACTCCGGGGCTGCACGTTGAAGCGGGAAAATCATGTAGAGGTGCCCCTCATCGTGCTGTGCTTCCGTGCAGCTGTGCACGTGTACTTCACCCCACCTTCAGAAAAGGTTTTGCGGTTCTTTCCTGCAACCATTGCTTGATGTTCTACAAGTGAGACATGTCTTGGAGCTTCCCAGATACTTCAAGCCTTTTGATTGAGGTCGGCCTCCCAGGAGGATGTCTTCCAACTATTTGGCACCAGCGTGGCGGAAGCATGCCTCAGCGGGTGCGCGAGAGCAGGGCACAGGGATGCAAGGAGTGGCCGACGCCTGGAATTTTGGTGATGCCATTCCATACCTTTTCGACCGAGGTCGATCTTGGAGCAAGTTTTGTGTAAGGGGGTGCAACTGTTTCGATTTGTTGAGCTTGCCCTGCCACTTCCACAGCAATCAAGATAGGCATTGCATTCAACTTGCACTATCAAGCAGACACTTTCAAACTTGCCTTGAGTCAACGCCACTATCACGCATCTCGGATACCCACACCAGGGCACAGAAGGTTTCAACACTTTGAAGCGCTTTGCTGCCAAAACTGGCATGTGGACCACTTCTTGCTTCAGCTCCTGAGCATGTTCGATCTCTCTGGCACAGGTACAACGGCAGCATCTACGCGTATGGTCAGACGGGCAGCGGAAAGACCTTCACCATGCAGGGCGGGGTGGCCGGGGGCTTGGAGCTAAGCAGAGTCTGCATGTCGATTCCATGCAACTTCCTTGAATCATTGGGCAGATGTGTGTTTCACTTTGCACAGGAAAACACAGACACACAGACACACACACACACACCAATGGATACTACAGCCACGCGAGGCTACTGACTATCTAACTTCCTGATGCTCTATGGGTTTGTGTCTACTTTGGCTGGAACCCCAAGACTGCTGGGATTTGCTTTAGCTTCCCTAAATAACCCCAGAAGGGTATCCCCCGGAGAGAAGCCACAGAACCAGCGGGCCTCGTGGCTCGTTGCTCGCGACCCAGAACTCGGTGCAGTCCATGCAGCAGGACCCCAGCAGGCGCGCTCAAAACAGGCAACTGAGCAATGGTGGGTTTCCCTTTTAGTTTTCCACAAGGCAAGCCCAAGCAAGGTACCCTCAAAAACAGACACACCCTTTTTTGGCCTTTTGCTTTCTTGCTAAAGTAAGCCTCAAACTGTTGGGGGTGTCAACAGCCCTTTGTCACACCCAGTTTATGGTCAGGGGCCTTATGTGCCGGATTTTGGAGTTCATCTTCGACGAGATCAGCCGGGACCTCTGTGTCCGCTGAATTAAAGACCCTTTGCATCAGCACCAGTTGCTCTGCTGACCAAGACACAAACAAACAACAACCGGCAATGTGGATGACAGTCTACAGCACAGGGAACTAGGCTGACTAATGACCAATGAGCCAAAACAGAGCTGGCTTTACAGAGGATCATTGCAGAAGTCGGTATGTCGCTGACAGGTCGAAGACATCTCAAAGGAGGAAGTGTCCAGCATAGCTGCAAGTGCTCGTCCGCCTCTCAGACTCACAGACAGGCTTCCGGTTTTTATACCGGAGCCTGTTTTGTTTTTGCAGCCGGCAGTCCACATCCAATCTCAGAGGTAGGCCCCTCGTCTGTACCCGCGTTTTGCGACTCGTCTGTACTCGCTGGACTCCACTCGTCTCTACCCGCGTGGTGGGCGCAGATGAGTCAGATTGATGGCAGTCCCTATGCTCTAAACTTCACAAATGCAGTACTCACAAGTATTGTGTGGGCGCAGATGATCTTAGGTGTTTTGGGCTTTACAGCTCTTAGAGAATATTCTGAGAAACTGCCATAGGTATCCTAAACCCTAAAAACCCTAAACCCTAAAAACCCTAAACCCTAAAACCCTAAACACTAAAGATCCTAAACCCTGAAACCCCTAAACCCTAAAAACCCTAAACCCTAAAAACCCTAAACCCTAAAAACCCTTAACCCTAAAAACCCTAAACACTAAAGATCCTAAACCCTAAAAACCCTTAACCCTAAAAAACCCTAAACCCTAAAACCCTAAACACTAAAGATCCTAAACCCTGAAACCCCATAAACCCTCAAAACCCTAAACCCTAAAAACCCTAAACCCTAAAAACCCTTAACCCTAAAAACCCTAAACCCTAAACCCTAAACCCTAAAACCCTAAAACCCTAAAACCCTAAACACTAAAGATCCTAAACCCTGAAACCCCTAAACCCTAAATACCCTAAACCCTAAAAACCCTTAACCCTAAAAACCCTAAACACTGAAGATCCTAAACCCTACCCCTTAAAAACCCTAAACCCTAAACCCTAAACACTAAAGATCCTAAACCCTGAAACCCCTAAACCCTAAAAACCCTAAAGCCTAAAAACCCTAAACCCTAAAAACCCTTAACCCTAAAAACCCTAAACGCTGAAGATCCTAAACCCTGAAGACCCTAAACACTGAAGATCCTAAACCCTGAAGACCCTAAACCCTAAAAACCCTTAACCCTAAAAACCCTAAACACTAAAGATCCTAAGCCCTAAAAGCCCTAAACCCAAAAAACCCTGAACCCTAAAAAACCTAAACCCTAAAATCCTTAAACACTGAAGATCCTAAGCCCTAAAAACCCTAAACCCTAAAAACCTAAACCCTAATGACCCTACGCCCGAAAAACCCTAAAACTCTCTGTGGGCAGAGATGAGCCCAAAGTGTGGGCGCAGATGATCCTCCGCTGACCCCTTTTTGCAAAGGGTCAACTTCTATGTATTCGCGAAAAAATCTGTGGGCGCAGATGAGTCAGAAAAGGTGGGCGCAGATGAGTCACTTCTGGGTGGGCGGAGATGAGCCGAAAATGTGGGCACAGATGAGCTCCCTTCCATCTCAGAGGGCTGTTGTGGTGGGCAAACTCGCATTGAGCACCTCGGACTATCTTGCCAGAGCTTGGCCATGTCAGGTACTTAGAGATCTACAAGGCCGGTAGAAAGTGTCACATGCATATGGTTGGTAAGACTGGGAGAATCAGCCATTCTGCACGCATTCCGCACAGCAGGGGCAATTCTTTCTAACGCTATTCTCTTTTCACCTTTGAGCTCACGTGGTTTAAACCGCTTGTTTCGACAGTCACAAGCGGTTTATCCCCGCAGATGCTCACCCACGGCTGACTAGCAGGTTCGTTGCGTGCATGCGGGGCGCCCTGTGGCCCTTCAGGAGCAGATCACCGACCTGCTGGAGCCCTCGAGCTATTTGCAGATACGGGAGGACTACGTCGTGGCTTCGGAATGTTGAATGCATGAGCTCGAACCATTCAATTTTTCAAAGAGACTTTTCCTAAGCTTCATCCCGAGTTTTCAGGAGGTTCTGACAGCTGACGCTCTAGGTACTTGTTTGGACCTAACGAATTTGGAGGGATCTCAGCCTTCAGAACGTCCAAACGGTGCCTAAATTTGAAACCCCTCTCCCCCTTGGGGCGAGGACATCAACCGCGGCATCTACGTGGAACGCCTTAGTGAGCACTCCGTATGGACGGCCTCCGACGCTTTCCACGTGCTCTGGAAGGCTTGGGATGGGAATGGTGTCAGTCCTTTGGTCTCCCTTTAAAGCCGCCAAAACAGAGGTACCCAAGAAAGACCCATCCATGTGAAGGTTTTGGCTCTGAAATTGGCGCCTATGAACTCACGGGGCATGGGGAACACGAGGGACATGTTGTGTCTCAGTTGCAAAGGAAACTTAGATACTTTGCCTTCTATGCGAGCTGTGAACACATCCAGTCTATGGTCCATTGGTGACGAACCCAACATGTCCCCTGCAGGTTGGGAACCCCCCGCATATGGCTGTAGGTCAAAACCAATCGGATCCCATTTTGGGGTAGGTGCACCACCCATTTTAGTGTATTTTAGTGGGGATTGGGATTTTCACGGGGGGGTACGGGCCTTTGACCCATGGCCATATGTTAAGTGTGGCGCATGTGCTTCTGAGGGCCTTCACCAGCGGCACGTGGCCTCCACCCAGATGAACGAACTCAGCTCCAGGCGGGGCTGGAATTGTGGGAAGCCAGAAAAGGACCTTAAACGGGTGTAGCAGCCGAATGGAACCCATTTGGTGTGTTCAAAAAAATGTACCCCTCAAAAAAGGTGTCACACAATGGTTGATTCATGCTGGGGACGACTCATTTTAGAGGGGGATCCGGATCATATTGGGGGCGGGGGGTTGGAACGAACCCCCCCAGTCAATTAACTTGCCAGGTTGATTCATACGGATTCAACGTTAGTTGATGTGTGTTCAGGGGTGGTTGCGAGCCTTTAGGTTTGCTTTCTGGTTTGGTTCACTGTTCAAGTGAGGTTAGACGCGGTAAACAAGGATTGTGCAGCTGGTGAGGAATCGTTCAAAGTGTTGTCCCGTCAACAAGGGCGAAAACGGAGGTTCCTCGACTCACAGCAGTGGGGTCGGGGGTCACAGGCTTGTTAGGCGCGTTTCGGAGAGGTCCCACTCGGTCTTCACCCTGAAGTTGGAAGCTTCCAGCACCACTGCGGGCGGCGTGACCTCCACGAAGGTGGCGAGGTCTGGGAGCTGGCTGGGGAAGTGGCCGTGAAATGGGTGGCTCGCTTCCTGCGTTCCTGGACTTTGGTTATACTTGTTGGGAAGACCAGTTAAGTGGCAAACAACACAGTTTGTTTGTGGCTTTTTGCCAATCCGCTCAGGAAGTGAGGAACAGTTTGAGCTGGGGAAAGACAAATGTCGCAAACTTTGCCGAGGGGTAGCATTGGACAGGTGATTTTTACCCTGGCAGGGACGGTTTCCTCATTGGTGTTGATGGACAATTGGTGGATATAACTTGACATAACTCTTTGAGCTGGAGTGTTCGTAGTTCAAACTTCGGAATGTATATGGGGAAACAGCAAGCCGTTGCAAACCTTACAAATGGCAAACTCTCTCAAGCCAGGGAACAGAAGGCATGAAATCCGAGATACACACGCATATTTAAATAACCATATATATATATATATACATATATATATAATTCCTTATATACATATATATATATATATATACACATGAATAACAACTTTATTCCTTTCACAACATATCCTTGCAAGAACGCCTGCCCCCTCTCCCCAGGCTGAACCTCATCGACCTCGCCGGCTCTGAGCGCCAGAGCTTCGACCCCCACCAGCCCTCCACGGCGCGATTCGCATCGCTTCGGTGGACGCGGTTGGTGTGAGAGTGCGACTCACCTGCCGGGGTTTAAAGGGAAGCCAAAAGGAAAACGGAAGACCACCCATAGGGGGCACCCCAACGAGAAGACACACAGATGGGTATGGGTCAAATTTTCACTGGCTGTTGCGATAGGTAGGAAATGAGGGAATTTCCCTGAAAGGAAGCCACAAAGGATGGCTGAGCACCAGCAAGTTAAAGCACCAGTGCTTGGGAACCCTATTTCGGACCCACATCGCGTGCCATGTCTTTTTTTGAGGGTCATTATTTTGACGGTTTCTGGGGTTTATCAAAGTCAGAAAATGGGTTGGGGGGTGACTTTGACCCTGATAAAATAATGAGGCCAGTACCCCTTTGGGGCATTGAAGGAAAACCAACAGGACAAGCGCCACCATGTTGGGGGTCCGATTCCCAAAAAACGACACACCCAAAATGGCCCTTTGGGATTTTTTACTACCCTGCAGACTAGGAACCCAGGAAGCCCTTCATTTTTAGAGGGACCTCCTTTTGAGGGATCCTATTTTGGGGTTCCATGTTTTAAGTTGCAGTGAGTATGTCTTTCATCCCCGGCTGAAAGGTATGGAGTCCTGCCCAAAGCGTCTGGAGAAGGTATAAGGGAAGGAAGGGTTGGGGTGCTGTTGGGGATGTATTTGCGGGCTAATTTGGGGTCGTGCCATTGGGGCCAATTCCTCCAGGTTTCCTTTGATCCAAAAGGTCCCCCCATTTGAGACATCAGATGGTGTGTGAGATAGAGGACATCATTCTTTCGTGTGGGGAAGAGACGCGACCTCTCGTGCCCCATTGTCTCGGCGCAGCACGAGAGCCTCAGAGTCAAGGAGGCCGGCGCCATCAACCGGAGCCTCAGCGCACTGACCAACGTGATCATGCCGCTTGGAGCTGCACGTGTCAACGCTTTTTCACCGCCACCCCCGGGAGCGTAGCTGGGGCATGGGGGGGGGGGTGCTTTGCTTTCCGTTTTGGTCAGTGGCTCTGTGCTTTTTGCTCAGGGCTTGGCAAACAACAACAGAGCACAGGTGAAGCAGGAAGGTGGAGTAGATTATGAGGAGCATCCCTGGAAGCCAGCAAAAGGGTGGGGAGGGTTTCCCCCCTCGGGCACCGGAAAGCAGAGCCCTAGCTCCCAGGTCCTTGTCGCAGCGCAGAGCGGGGCGGCAGCCTCAAAGAGCCGAAGGAGCATAGCTTTCCGGTGGGGACATGCCTACATGGCTGATCAACCAACCAGACCAGTGAAGTGTGATGTGCTTAGCGAGTGCGCCCCAACAACGACCTGCCCCTGCCATTGCGGAAGACTGCTTCGCGGCTTCGTCCTTCTTGACCAGACTCAGTGAGGCAGCGACAGCCTTTCGTGCGGTACCGCGACAGCAGCCCCGCCGGTGTTGATCCCCATGCAGGGACGCCTTGTGAACGAGGAACTATTTGTTGCTTTTCATTGGCATGTTTCATAGATTTGCACAACACGGGGTTGCTTGTTCTGGGATTGTTGGATTCTCTGGTGATTCTGCAATCTTGGACTACTTCCAGGATCTGGACCAGGGATCACAAATACAATCTATCATGTTGTGTCGCATCTGCTTTTTTGCAAGTGGGATTGATTGAAGCCTGTGCGACGTGTAATCAGTCAACTGAGCCGTGCAAGATGCCGAGCTTCAAGATGTAAGCAGCAGGCGGCCAAACCACTTGTTTACTGATTGGTTGATTTACCCTCCATGAGAAGTGTTTTTTTTTGTTTTACATGAGTCCAAAAACCACCAGCGGTTACTCACTACCAGACACTAACGCACGGGTCCGTTTTGTTTTGCCAGGCAAGCTGACCTTCCTGCTTCGGGACTCCCTGGGCGGTAACTCCAAGACGCACATCGCGGCCTGTGTCAGCCCCTCTGCCTGGACCCTGGATCTGTTGCTTCCCATCCTATCTGCACTACAAATCCGGATTCTTAGCTGTATCTTTATCCCTGCAATTGAGCCACAATGAAGACTTGGGCAGATGTTGGTAGGAGTCTCACCGGCTGTTGATTCTTTACACAGTTGGGGGTAGAACTGTCAATACCAGGTTTGACTTACCACCTATCTGCGAAAGGCCATGTGCTTCGGGGAGACGCTGTCCACGCTGAAGTTTGCAGCACGGGCCAAGCACATCCGCTGCACGGCTGGGCGCCCAGTCCATTGGATCAGGAAGAGAGCTGTCCAGGGTGAATGTCGACGGATTGCAGAGCTTTGCAAGTCTGATGGTTTCGGACATCATTTGTGAGATCGTTTTCAAGTGAACCAAAAGCAAACGTTTGAGTGCGTCGTTTGTTTTGATCAGGGTACCCATTTGAGGTGGTTTCAAAGGGAAGCCAGAAGGCCGTTTGGATCCTGTATCCCCTTTCTCCCATTGAGCGAGCTGTGGTTGGGTGGCCGACGTGCGTACCGTTGCGGTTGGAAAGACTGTAGAGTAGTCGTTGGAGCATCAAAGCCATTGGCAGAAGCCAGGCATTGGCTTTTTAGCCAATTGAGCAGCGGTCAAACCTTCATGACCCTGCCAGTCGTGGTTCTATTGGTGTAACACCGCCACACGAGGGAAATGCAATCATACTTGTCAGTAAACTCTACACAGTTGCATTGTGCGCCGATTTTTTTGAGGACACCCTTTTGGGCCTGCTTTTAAGGGAACCCCCCCATGGCAGCAATCCTTTGTGGGTGTGCCTCACGAGACAGAGCCGGCGGTTCTTCGCAGGCGGTCATGAACGAGGAGTACTCTGGGACGGTGGAGTCCTTGATGCTAGAGGCCGGGGATTCCATGTCCTTTGTGAATAGAAATGGGGCATGGCTCGTCCCCCAAATGGTGGTTTTCCTCTTGGTTTCCCTTGAAATCCACAAAAGGGGGGGGGATTTGGACTGGGATCTGAAAAAAATATGGTTTTGCTGTTGGTTTCCCTTTGAACCAACCTGAAAAGGGTACCCTCACAAATGGGAGTCAAGCCAAAATCGTACATGGTCAAAGGACCTTCTTACTTGGGGTAGGGACGGTCATGGACCCCTGACAAGGAGTTTGACCCAGCGTTTCGCAAGAGTAGCGGCTTCTCCAGGTGGCTCTTCATTTCCCTTTTCCTTCTGTTCCTTTTCCTTTTCCTCCTTCAACACCATTCAACACGGGCTCGCCAGTCATTTTCGTGTTACAATTTTTGGTTGAACATATGTAGATTCCGCTGGTTTCAGTTTGCTTCGAACAGTTTGGCCCTTGAGGTTCGGTGGTCTACTTGGGATTCGGACCATGGGAAAACCGAGGTGTCCACACTGAGCTTTCCTGCAAGGCCCAAGTTGATGTCTTGCCAGCCATGGAATGGTGGTCATTTTGGTCATTCTGATGCCCCCGAAATGATCGAGAGACACCTTCCTGATTTGCGAACGGCTTTTGGTTTAATGCCGGCCATCAGCTCCAGTGAACATGGTTGGGAGTCATGAGCTGAGAATCAAAAGCTGGACATGGACTCCGTACTGTTCGCATGGAACGCCTGTCTGAGAGGCTCTATTGAATTTCGAACATGGATTTGCTTCAGCGGGCTGAGTGAGCCATCGCCAAAGCTAGTGGTTGTCGAATGATGAAAGGAATTCAGCGACTCGGCTAGTGTTCTTCATGCACAACCATTGGGTTTTCCGTTTTTGCTTTGTTGAGGTGAAGAGTCTCCGACAGCAGCTGGACCTACTTTCCAGCAGCGGGCCCTGGGAAGAATTCGCACAGAGGTCTAGGGGATGATCCCAACCCAAATCCCTGGCTTATACCATTGTGCGGGGTGTGGGGAGGGCTGGAGGGGAATACAGCGACTGCTATACAGGTGGGAATAAACCATTTGAACTTGCCCTTGAACAGGGAAGTGTTGCATAAGGCTTCGATTGTTTTCATTTGCTTGATTCCTTGACGTTGATGGGATCCGCTCGCTCTGTTTTACTTCCATCCAAAGAATGAGAATTCGCCTTCAGCTTCTCTGCTGGATTTTGCCTCTTTTCTCATCTAGTCAGCGCTGGGGATCGTTGGATTGGCCATTGGATTGGAACCCTCGAGAAACTGCACCGACATAACAAGCCAACGCCAAGCACGACTCGCTAGCGGCGTGCAGGTCGAGGGCTGCTCGGGGACGGGGAGGTGGGTCCCCCGGTGCTGTGGCGCTTTTTTGTGCAGGCACTGGATGTTGAATCCAGTGGGATGCTTTTGTCTGCATCTGTTTTTTTTTCTTTTTTGTTTTTTCCTTTTTTTCTCCGGCGCATGAACATGAGGATGCGACCCTCTCAAAAGTGGTTTCCTGTTTTCAGAGAACGCCTGCACGTGCCTTCGCCACATGGGCCGCTTTTAGACTTCTGAGAAGGCACCGAATTCTGCCCGCCTGTGGCGCGCAGGTGGAGGACATCATCATGCAGTCACCGCGGGGAGCTTGGGGGCGCAGAAGGGCGAGCAAGAGAAGTGTTGACAATTGGCCATGGGTTGCAGAACCTATGGCGATCCCATTTTGGGGTGGATGAACATCCATTTGCAACCTATTTTGATGTCCACCAGAGGGAACAGGGTTTTGAACCACAACCAACTTGCCTGGTCATGTGAGATGCTAGCCCGGAAAGTTGCTTGCAGTTTTGGTGGTTGTCTCCCAAAGCTCCCCCTGTTGGCTTAGTACTATTTGAACACCCAAGGCTGGATCCAGAAAAGCACCCTCAAGCCTCTGACCAAGCTTCGGACGCCATCAGCCCAGGAAGGGGATGGCTCAACGAGGTGCGAGGGGTTCGGGTGCTTTCGCAGTGAGCTTCTTTCTCTTTCGGCTCATGGGCCATGGGAGGCCAGTTCTAACAATTAACGCATTGGATGTCCTCGTTGATTTTGGTTAGGACAACTTGGCTGAGCCTTGGCACCTTCGGGGCCTTCTGTGCGGCAGGGGCGAAGGCTGCCAGAGAAGAGGAAGAAGCCCTGGAGGCGATGGCGTGGCTTCGGAGTTGGCGCCGGCTTGTCAAATTGTTGTTACATTGTTGACATGGACACCCAAGCGAAAGCTCCATCGGGGTTCCTGATTGGGACAAAACCGTATTGCATGCATGCAAAGCATAGTTTCCATACCTCGACTCCCACACATAGCCGAATTGGCTCAGAGGCATTTTACCCTGCGCGTTGGTTTGTCAAGCGCACCAGTTTTCCGCAAGCATCATGTGGGACGCGCATTGGGTTTCGGTGCGTGGTCCGGTTTGCACCGCACTCAGGACATGGGTGTGACTCAACAAGTCAAAATTGGATGGGGAGTAGCCCAACTTTGGCTCAGCACTCTAGGATTCCCCCGTGTTGACATGATTTTCTCCACCCACAATTCGCGTTAGATACTCATCAACGCCTCAATTCACCAGTACACCAGGTTAAAGTCACATCACTCCGACCGTGCCAGCCGGGTGAAGACAAGCACCACCGATCCTTGTCTCGAACATGCATTCATTCGAATGTCAGGATTGATAGGCTGATGTCCAGTGGAAGACATTGTCCCTTGGAGCCGGATTGGGACCACGCCAAGGGATTCTTCAAGCCTTTGGTGCCCTGCAGCCCACGCGTCAAAAGCCATGCCATACCCTTCGTGGACATTCGTGAATTCGGGTTCGTTTTGTTCGTGCTTGAAGTTTCGAGAGTCGCCCATGTACCCGTTAAATTGGCAGGCTAGATAGTTTTGAGTAGTGAAGTTCACGTGCGACTGGGGGCCGAATCGAGCATAGCAGGAACCCCAAATGAACAAAAACCATCCTGCCAGGGGGGGTGTCACCCTCCGAAAGTGATGAACCCGCCACAAGAAGGGGGCACCCCCAATCAAAATCATCCAGGCAATCCACTTAGACCTGTTCCCCGATCGCCACGCCTTCTCGGCCAGGCGCTGGTGTTGGAGAGGCTTGAAGCCGCCGGGTGCAGAGAGGAGCTGCCGGGGACCGAGGACATAGATTGCGATGGGTGTCTCTTTTTAGGTGCGGACCTCCCCCCAAATGGCTTTGGTTTTCCTTTTGGCTTCCCCTTGAAACCACAAGAAAGGCTCTACCCTCAAAAAAGACAGGCCCCTGTCAGCATGTGACGTTTTGGCATTCATATTTTGGCACGGGTTCATGTTCCTTGATAGCTTGAGGCAGTCGCTCTACGGCTCGCGGCGCGTGCGCAGGCTGGGAATACAAGAGCTAAGTCGGCTGGCACCCCTGTTGAATGTGTGTGTGTGTATGTGTTTTTGCCTGGCGCAATTCCTTGAAGTCCTGTTGCGCTATGTGCGGGGAATGGGAAGTTCAGCTAGCGACAGCGTGCTTTGACCACGGAGATTCTGAACACTCTTAATCTGAAGAGAAGCCGGATCATCCCTTGTTAGAGCCTGGCAGGTATTTGACTGTGGCTCTGTGACACCTTGGGCTGGGCCCATCTTGGTTGTGTTTGCAGGGCTTGCCAACTCTGACTTTTGGGGTACTACCGTGGATGGACCAGGACAACATCCGGTTGTGGATGAAGCCCCATGCAGGATATCCGTCCATAGTACGACTTGGGGGTGACTTCGACAGTGTAGGCTTGAAATCCTCCTGGCTGCCGCACCGCACTCAGCGACGGCTTGTATCACTTCAAGCCATTGTGGAAGAAGCAGAATCAGCTACCTTTGGGAAGGGTTTTCATAGCTTTGTGGCACATGGAACTCGACAGCAGTTCTGTTGAGTTGAACATCCTTTAAAGTTTGGTCGGTAGATTTCAACTGAGCAGGTAAAAGAAGGGGTGTGAAGTTACGTTGTTCAGCTGACATTAGACGGCCGCGGCTTTTCAAGTGTGTATGATTTGAGCACGGATCTCTCATCCTGTGCACTCTCCAAGGGCATCCTGCACCCATCTACTTGAAGCCTTTTGGTTTCCAATCCTCAAAGGGCGCCCGAGCCGAGAGAAGAACACCAGCAAAGACCACACACAGCGCAAGCGCAGAAACATAGATAACACTTGGGAGCACTTTGCGTCAGCATCTTCCGTGGCCCACTGCGGCCCGGATCACGAGAGCCGCCACGGCCAGCAAAGGCCTTGGACCGGGAGCGGCGCTGCGAGCTGCGGCGCCACAAGATGGACAAGTACTCCCAGTGCCCGCGGTTTCTTCGATTCGCGCATCGGATCGGCCGCTCGGGTGGCGCAGCGTGGGGTGATGTTCCGGTCGCTGGAACTTGGAAGGCCGGATGGTTCGACTTTCGGTATGTGCATCTATTGAAGGAGGGGCACTGTGAACATGTTGGCAGTTCAACGTGAGGCTCATTTGAACATGCTGCGGGTGCTCCGGATTGAATACTGAAACCCCAGATTCTCGTGCAACCTTTTTTGGTGTTTGGATCGGTTTGGAGGTGAAGAGGAGTGGTTTCCCATTTGCCTCAAAATGGACAAGAACTTCAAATCCCCAACAGGCATGCCATTGCACAAAGGCTAGATTGGCCAATGTGTCACATATTCTGGTTTGTCGCGAAATGGCGGCACTCCCAAACTGGACTGATGCCCATGTTCATTGTCTATGTCTGACCGAGCCTCATGGTCTGCAAAACTATCACTGGTAAGGATCAACTTTGCATGAGGTCAATTTCGTGACATCCTCAAGCGCTCGGTCCGGCTCACCAGAAGGCTTGTTCATCTAGACTCATTTGTTGACCAACAAGAACATTCATGATCAGCTTCCGATTGAGCGATGCACACAGCCCATGGCCGCTGAAGATGATGAACCGTGGCTGGAACTTGAAGAGAAATGGGAGGCCATGCTAGAAAAAGCTTGGTCAAGGCTTGCTTTGCGTCCCGTTTTCGAGGCATTGGAGGCGTTTTTGTTGTTCGTGATATGCCTGGGAGAGGGGACACATAGCAAGCCGTTTTGCCATATTGGATTTGACTGCCGTTGGACCGTTGGAGTCTGGAGGAGACGTTTGCGGACGCCAGCCGACCGTCTCGCAAGAGGTCTCGCTCCAGGTGGGGGATTCAGTGGAAAGGATTGAGCGACGAGGGCAGCAAGTCATCGGCGCCAAGCCCGGCAAATCCAAATCGGGACCACAAGGAGTTTTCTTGATTTTTTGTTCTATGACTCCAAAGAGGCTCAAATGCAGTTTGGCCGTTCTGTGCCTCTAGGCAGAGATCCGGCACCGGAGGCATGACGGGGCAGGGATGGCCTCGTGTTGCAAAGCTGCGGTGGTCATGAAACTCAAGCAACAGCATGCCCATTGTCAAGATGTCAATAGCGACGGCCGGGATGATGTGTGGGTTCACTGGAAAAAATATGAACGGGCACCAAGGAGAGAAGCTGCTTCCCGGTTTCAGTTTGGCTCTGCAACGGGGTGGGTGTGTTTGTTTAGGGACCCCCCCAAAGTGGTGGCTCCCCCCCCTCCCATAAAACGGCCCCCACAAGCAACGACTGACCCATGTGTTTGTCCCAAGGACAAGGTTGCGAGAGCTTGCCGTTGCCAGGCCGAGGTTGGGTCCCCCGCGCCTGGCCGCAGTCGCAGCCCCGGAGTGGCCAGCCGCAAAGACCTGGTCAACAAATCCAGTAGGCGGTGGGTCAAAAGTGGGCACCCAAGAATGGAACCCTGGCAATTAGAGCCAAGGACTAAAACCTGCGGTCCCCTGGTGGTTTAATTTTGACCCATACCCTGCAGCTCATGCTCCGTTTGGGAGGGGACATGGACTCTCTACGCAAAAACCCGGGCGCTCCAAAAAGTACCCACGTCATGTTCAGGGGATGAACATTGTCCCTGAAAGATCCATCGCTCTAAGTGGAATCATCTTTTGTGGACATGTACGGCCTCAGGTTCCAGGCTGATTCTGTGGTTGGATGTCAAACACTGAACACAGCGGCTTGTGGCAAACCAGGTGTTGTTATGCCAATGTGTGCCAGGTTTGCGTTTTTGTGAGGCTGACTCTCCTCTTTCTGCTGCGTTCAATACAATCGTAGGGGCATTTCCCGCATTCTTGCGCCAAGGCCGAAATGGGAACTCTCAAAGAAAACACATCCCAAGGCGCGTGTTCCACGCATCCGACATCCAAAGGCGCGCGCGGCCCACGCACTTCGTGGCGATCCATCTGAAGTCCAGGGAGATCCAGCGATGCGTGCGTCGGCCTCGGTCTGGCTTCCATTTGCGTATTTGGAGCGAGTTACCTGCGTTACCGACGAATGGAGGGGATCTATGCTCTTGGAGTTGCTGGTTACTTTGGAAGAAGTGCTTCTCAATCTGTGCGGTTCAATTGGGACAACGGTGACGATGCAACCTTTTTGCAGGGAGCAGCTGCAGCAATGGTTTGTGGCACAGAACAAGCTCTTCGAGCGGTGCTTGGTGCGCGGTGGGGGGGGGGAGAGGCAAATCATGTGGGTATGGGTTAAAAAGTTAAAAGTGTTTATGAAAGGCTTGTAAGAGCCCATAAACTATCTGCCCCACAAGGGCCTGATCATGAATTGTAGGCGCCATAAACTCAAACTACAAGATGCTGAGGCTTGAAGGCTTCAAGTGCATGTGTCAACAGGGCCCAACCCTCTCTTCGAGCACTTGGCTTAGATCTTGTGAGTCTCGCAGTGGGCTGGAGTCAGGCTCAGGCCGTAAGCGCGTGGGATCAGCGGAAGTATTTGGGTGTGTCTCCAAGCTAGGGTTGCATATCAAATGACCATCAAATCGTCAATAGCTTCAATACCTTCAACACCTTCAATACCTTCAATGTCAATACAAGTCAACCACATTTGATGCCATGAGGCCGCGGACGATTCACTAAATTGGGAAAATGAATGACGCGTTGGCCGACTTGTTTCCAAACTCTATTTCTTTACAGCTCATTTTTTTGAGCTGGAGCATTAGCTCACGCCGTCAGGTTGTCTTGTCTGCAAACTTGCAGTTTCCGGCAGGTTCCCATCAAGAGAATTCACACGGCCCTTCTGCTGACGTCTGTGGAGGCAGGGGACTCCTTTTCCGCCAAGTCGCGCCCTTTTCTGTCTTGGGATCCACAAAACCTTGCCCAACACCAGCCATGTCTTCTGGCACCTTTATGTTGAGCGCTGTGTTTAAACCAATTTGGCACGTGCCCAGATAGGCTCCGGGCTTCGGATCCCAGATTTCGGGAAGCTGAGGAGTCGAGGATGAGCGCCGCAAGGGAGGCCTGCGCTCAGGCGCGGCCTTCTCTTTCAGGTCCAAAGCAATCCACACCCGGAACCTGCGGCAATGTCCATCTTCACCTTGAAGAAATGAGTGGGACATCGCCTTTTTGGGCAGTTTTAGATAGAATGTGGTTCCCTTTGGTTGGGTGATGCTTGAAGGGGTCCCATATAAGCAGCCCTATAAATGAAGATACCTAAGACTGGTTGGTTTCCCTGTAGCCCAGTTTTGACCATCTTGCTTGAACCACCCGCCCGGTAAGGCCCTAAGGCACTACCTAAGTTTCGGGAGCATTGAACCCGTGAACTTTTCGCGGCGATGGCTCTGGTGGGGGTTGCTTCCGAGAAGACTCTCAGGCCGCTGCCAGCATCCGCGCATTTCTGGGCGGAGAAGCTGTCCGTTTGAAGGTGGAAGGAGTCGGCTCCGGCCTCGGAATTGGCGCTGGTGTAGATGCATGGCTCTGCATGACTCCGCTTTCTGCACTGTTTGGATTGCAAGATTCAAAGCAACTTGGCTTCAGCTATAGTTTCTTTTGGGCATTGTCCAACCTGGCCATGAAGTTGAAGCAGTGGTCATTCGTCAGTTCGACGGCAAACAGACCAGAGTTCCAACTCGAAAAGGCAGAAAACTGATCCGTAGCAGGATGGTATCATTTGAACATGTCCGGAATGACTGGCACGTCCCTTGTCCCGTTGTGTGCCCAGGCTCGTTTGGTGGCCGGGTGGTTTTCGCGCGGGTGCGCACCGAACCGCCGGAGCTGCTGGAGGCTCGCTTTCGCCAAGTCCGGAGGACCCATTCTGCGTTTTGGCATAGCCCGATCTCTAGCTCACTTGCCCAATGCCGACCTTTTAGCCTTTTGGTTTCCCTGATTTGGTCCATTTTTGGTGGCCCCAAAAGGTTTCTATTTCTGGGTCCTTTGGGCAACTGAGCTAGTTTTCTGCTCCATGCTTGAGCTATTCCCATGCACCGCACTCGAGGCGATGCACCATTTGCTTTCGAGGAGATCTGCAGCTGGCTGACTCGAGTTTAGTGGCAGGTGCCAGCGGTTTGAAGCACTCGGCAGGACCTTCATGCGCCATGGCTTCCCCATTCTCGATGACACTGGCCAGGCGGGGGTGGATGTTCCTCCAATGTCTCAGGGGCGGAGTAAGCGCTGGTCTTGCAGTTGGCCGATCCCGTTGGTGGCACTCCAAGGAGCATCCTGCCTAAAGAGGTTAAATTGCTTAGGCAGGATTTGACGCTGGCCTGGCATCACTTTCCAGCAAACACGCAGTGTACACGCGGAGGTCGTGCTTACAAGCGTACTTTGACCGACGGCCGTTGCTGACATGCAGGGCTGGTTGGTGAACAAATAACGTTGAATATCAGCAATCTTGCAAGCCTCAGGCAGGTGCAGAATTTGCGTTCCACGCGGAGCGGAGCTGCTCCTGCAGCCTTGGAGATATTCCCAGTACAAGCAGGGCATGCCGTCTTGAGCAAACGGTCCGTGTTTGCATGATGACCGCCTTACGATTTGTTTGGATGTATATTGCAAAAGCCAGACATATTTTCAAAAGGGGGATGACAGCGGAAACCATACGATCCCTGGTGCTTAGTCTGGTCTCAACGCTGGATTTTGAGGGTAACCAGCCGAATTCCTTTTGCTCAGAGGCACCAGGCAATCAACCCCCGGTGAATTGACAATGTGGTGTCACCCAATGCAACTCAGGATCCTTCACTTCTGATACCCTCCTCTTGTTCTGCTTGGTTATGACTGCGGGGTCAACAATACCCTCCCGAACGCCAACATCGAAGAGGATCCTTCTTCTCGTTGAACATGCTTTTGCAGGGGTCCCTTGCAGGTTCCGAGGGGGTGTTTGGGCATATGCTAAGATGAGGATGCTCCCCATGCACAGGCCTGGCTGCAACCTGGCGAGGCGGGCCGCGGGGGCCGGCCTTGCCGGCCGTGCCGGCCGTGCCACATTTGAGCTAATGGT